TATCAATTAGGAGACGGGAGGAGTTTCACGGGTCTCTGCCTTATTTTATGGGAGGCCGGAGGGAAGGTCCGTTCAGGCCGAGGCAGCTATGTGAAAAGAGGTGTAGAAGGGGCACTGGGTTCTTCATCCCTGGGTGAATCCCCAGGAACTTAACTGAGACAGCAGAAGTGGGGCTTGGCTTCAGCTCACCCCCTACCAGTGCATTCTTTTTTTTTTTTTTTTTGAGACAGTCTCACTCTGTCGCCTAGGCTGGAGTGCAGTGGTGCAGTCTCAGCTCACTGCAGCTTCCACCTCCCAGGTTCAAGGATTCTCGTGCATCAGCCCCCGAGTAGCTGGGATTACAAGCTCGTGCCACCTCATGGGGCTCTTCACCTCGAGGGATCCACCCGCCTCAGTCCCCCAAAGTGCTGGGGTTACAGGCGTGAGACACCTCACCTGGCCCGACCACGGCATTCCCTTCCTGCATTCCCAGGGATCACCGGACCCACACCACGATCACTGATGCCATCATGTGGAACCATGCCTTTTACTTAAGAGAATCGGGCCAGGCATGGTGGCTCACGCCTGTAATCCCAGCGCTTTGGGAGGCCGAGGCGGGTGGATCACGAGGTCAAGAGATCGAGACCATCCTGGTCAACATGGTGAAACCCCGTCTCTACTAAAAATACAAAAAATTAGCTGGGCATGGTGGTGCGTGCCTGTAATCCCAGCTACTCAGGAGGCTGAGGCAGGAGAATTGCCTGAACCCAGGAGGCGGAGGTTGCAGTGAGCCGAGATCGCGCCATTGCACTCCAGCCTGGGTAACAAGAGCGAAACTCCGTGTCAAAAAAAAAAAAGAAAAAGAAAAGAATCCTAGGACCTGGCCTCAGGAAATCCAAATATCAAGCCAAGGTTGTGGAGCGTCCCACCTCAGGAAGGAAGGCTGAACAATGAACTGACTGACAGCCTTGTTGCCACCAGCCAGGCCACCAGGTGACCCATTACTCAAGATCACCATGGCAACCAGATAATGCCAACCTGCATACTTTTTAATGCATATATCATAATTTTAAGATATGCTTACTAAATGCAATGTGGTATCCTGGAACAGAAAAAGGATGTTAGTGAGAACATTTTATTTTATTCATTCAAATAAAATCTGGAGTTTGGGCCGGGCGCGGTGGCTCACACCTGTAATCCTAGCACTTTGGGAGGCCGAGGCAGGTGGATCACAAGGTCAAGAGATCGAGACCATCCTAGCCAACATGGTGAAACCCCATCTCTACTAAAAGTACAAAAATTAGCTGGGTGTGGTGGCGCGTGCCTGTAGTCCCAGCTACTCGGGAGGCTGAGGCAGGAGAGTTGCCTGAACCCAGGAGGCAGAGGTTGTGATGAGCCGAGATCGAACCATTGTACTCCAGCCGGGCGCCTGGTGACAGAGCGAAACTCTGTCTCAAAAAAAAAAAAAAAAATCTGGAGTTTGGGTAATATTAATGTGCCAATGTTGATTTCTTGGTTTTGACAAATGTGCTGTGGCTGCATAAGATGTGGAGATGTGCTGGGTACTGTGGCACACATCTCGCATCTGCAGTACCAGCTACTTGGGAGACTGAGGTGGGAGGATTGTTTGAGCCCAGGAGTCTGGAGCTGTGGTGAGCTGATACTGCACCACTGCACTCCGGCCTGGGCAACAGAGTGAGACCCTGCCTCTAAAAAAATAAAATTATTATGCTGAGTAAAATAAAGCAGACCCAAAAGTGTCCATACTATATGGTGACATTTATATAAAGTTCTTTCTGGTCTTTCTTTTAAAAAACATTTTTTGTTTTTTTTTTTTGAGATGGAGTCTTGCTCTGTCACCCAGAGTGGAGTGCACTGGCATAATCTTGGCTCACCACAATCTCCACCTCCTGGATTCAAGTGATTCTCCTGCCTCAGCCTCCCAAGTAGCTAGGATTACAGGCATGCGCCACCACACCCAGCTAATTTGGTATTTTTGGTAGAGACGGGGTTTAACCATATTGACCAGGCTGTTCGCAAACTCCGGCCCTCGGGTGATCTGCCCGCCTCGACCTCCCAGACTGCTGGGATTACACGCATGCGCCACTGCACCTGGCCGAAACATTCTTTTAAGCTTTTTTTTTCTTTTTTCATTTTACTTATTTTTTTCTTCCTTTTTTAGAGACAGGGTTTCACTACGTAGCCCAGGCTGCTTTTGAATTCCTAGGCTCAAGGGGTCTTCCCACCTCAGCCTCTCAAAGTACTGAGATTACAGTCATGGGCCACTACACCCAGCCATTTATATAAAATTCTAGGAAATACAAATTAATCTATAGCAACAGCAGATAAGCGTCTTGTTAGAGTTGGAAGAATAGTGGGAGGAGGGGAGGGATTACAGAGGAGCAAGAAAAAATCTTTAAGCATGATGGAGGTGTTCATTACCTTGATTGTGGTGATGGTTTGAGGGATTTATATACATGTCAAAATGAGTCAAATTGTACACTTCTTTTTTTCTTTTTAAGACAGTCTCGCTCTGTTGCCAGGCGCCAGGCTGGAGTGCAGTGGTGTGATCTTGGCTCACTGCAACCTCCACCTCCCCGGTTCAAGCAATCCTCTTGCCTCAGCATCCCTAATCTGGCTGGGACTACAGGTGCGTACCACCATGCCCAGCTAATTTTTGTCTTTTAGTAGAGATGGGGTTTCACCATGTTGGCCAGGTTGGTCTTAAACTCCTGACCTTGTGATCCACCCTCCTCGGCCTCCCAAAGTGCTGGGATTACAGGCGTGAGCCACTGGGCTGACAAGACACACTTTTGAGAAATGGTGAAATACTTGTATCAGTTTCCTGGGGCTGCGGCAACAAAGTTTCACAAACTGAGTGGCTTTAATAATCGTTCATTGTCTCATACTGCTGGAGACTCAAAAGTCTGAAATCAATGTATCAGCAGGGCCAGGCTCCCTGAAACCTGGGAGACTCCCTCTTTGCCTCTTCTAATTTCTGGGTTTGCAATTCTCAGCGTTCCTTTGCTTGCAGATATATCACTCCAACATTCCCCTTTATAAATGCCTGATCGTGTTTTCTATCTTTCCATCACATCTGGCTAAGTTTTAAACCTCTCAGCTTGGTGTGGTGGTGCATGCCTGTAATTTTGTATTTTTAGTAGAGATGGGGTTTTACCATGTTGGTCAGGCTGGTCTCGAACACGCAACCTCCGGTGATCTGCCTGCCTCGGCCTCCCAAAGTTCTGGGATGAGCCACTGCACCCGGCATTTTTTTTCTTTTCTCTTTTCCTTTCCTTCCTTCCCTCCCTCCCCTCCTTCCTCCCTCCCTCCCTTCCTTCTTTCGTCTGTCTTTCTATAGGATCTTGCTCTGTAGCCAGAGCTGGAGTACAGTGGTGATCATGGTTAACTGCAGCCTCCAACTCCTGGACTCAAGGGATCCTCCCACGTCAGCCTCTTAGCATGCTGAGACCATGGGTGTGCACATGCATGCCTGGCTAATTTATTTATTTATTTATTTTTGGTAGAGACAAGGTCTCACCATGTTGCCCAAGCTGGTCTCGAACTCCTGGGCTCAAGCAATCCTCCTACCTCAGCCTCCCAAAGTGTTGGGATTAGAGGCATGAACCACTGCACCAGGGCTCAAACATACAGTCACGCGTCACTTAACAGCCAGGGTATATTCTGTAAAATATGTCGTTACTAGATTTCCTTATTGTGCAAGCGTTGTAGAGTGTACTCACACAAACCTAGATGGGCTAGCACACTGCATACCTTGGCTCCGCGGTCTAGCCTATTGCTTTTAGGCTACAAACCTAGACCCCGGGAGGCGGAGGTTGCAGTGAGCTAAGACTGTGCCATTGCACTCCAGCCTGGGCAGCAAGAACAAGACTTAGTCTAAAAAAAAAAAAAAAGAAGAAGAAGAAGACATGGAACAAGAAAAAAAATAAATAAATGAGCGGGGATGGGATGCGCCTCCAGGTTTGGGAACTGCTCTGCGGGGTTCTAAGGGCCCCTCCAGCTCTGAGAGTTTGTGCCTCCATGGGAAAGATCCAGAATCCCAGCATAGCCCTTTATTGCAGCTACAAACCACCAACTAAGCCACACGTCACTTCCTGTCACCTATAACTACAAAAGCACCAGAACTCAGGAAGAAGCACACAAGAAAGCAAAATCATGCCGGGCGCAGTGGCTCACGCCTGTAACCCCAGCACTTAGGGAGGACCAAGTGGGAGGATTGCTTGAGCCCAGGAGTTTGAACCAGGCCGGGTCACATAGCGAGACCCTATCTGAAAATAAAGTGAAGATTATATTACTGTGTTCTTACTGTCCCTTTTCTATGTTTAGATACACAGGTCCCACTGTGTAACAAATTGCCTATGGTGTTCAGCGCAGTTACAAGCTGTACAGGTTTGTAGCCTCTCAGCACTTTGGGAGGCCAAGGCAGGCGGACCACTTGAGGTCAGGAGTTCAAGGCCAGCCTGGCCAACATGGAGAAACCCAGTCTCTACCAAAAAAAAAAAAATAATAATAATACAAAAATTAGCCTGGCATGGTGGTGCACACCTGTAATCCCAGGTACTTGGGAGGCTGAGGAATGAGAATTGATTGAACCTGGGAGGTGGAGGATGCAGGGAGCCAAGATTGCACCATTGCATTCCAGCAGCCTGGGTGACAGAGAGAAACTCTGTCTAAAAAAAAAAGGCAAAATCAGCAGCCCCCTGGTGAAGTTGTGAGGTCGTGAGGTCCTGCCTGCGTGGGAAGCCCACGCCATACACTGTGGCTCCTGGTACCCTTTCCAAACCCTCAGCTGATGTGGTTGGGTCAGGACATCATCAAGGGGACTCTGGGGCTGGATCAGGGCTACCTCCAAAGATCAGGGTGCTTGGCTGCCCTGCAAAGGGGTGGAGATCTATCCAGGCTTCTCTGAAACCTGAACCCTGGGGTCGGGGGAGGGGGGGAGGCGGGAGGGGCTGCCTGGCTCTGAGCATCCATGCCTCCCCGCCACCACGTAGCTCCGCCTCCACCTAGGTGCCCTTTCTCTGGGGCCGCTCCAGCTGGTGCCAGCCACCTCCAGTCCCCTTTGCTTCTGGTTGTCCCTAAGGTTGGATGGAGACAGGCTGGGACCACCAGCCAGCTCCATGGACAGGGGCTTTGCCTCTACTCACTTTCCAGCTGTGGAAAGAAAAGAAGAAACGTCTGTGTTGATTTCTATTTGGAAGATCCTTCCTCCTCCTAAACTTCCCAGGGCCGACACAGTGATTCAACCTTGGATTGACTGGAGAAGAAGGGACAGGAAGAGCCCAGAATATTCCCCCAGGTATGAATCCTTCGCTTTTGCTGGGGTGTTTGTGCATATGTGTGTGTGCATGCATGTGTGTGTGTGTGTGTGTGTGTGTGTGTGTCAGAGACAGAGACAGAGCACTGTTTCCCACTGGTCAGATGGGAAATTGTCCTTGTTAATTTCCCAAGCCCCTTCTGGCTGTTGTTTTCTATGATTCTGTAGCCATTTCCTTGATTCAGTCATTCAACAAACATTTTCTGAGTATCCACCCTGTACCAAGTGCAACTACTGAATAAGATCTGGTGTCCCCTCAAGGGTCCGCAGTCTCAAAACAGTAATGTAACAGTCGCCACCCACACCCAGTGAGGGCCAGGCACGGGGCTAAGCCTTGCGCAAACATTTGCTCATTGAACTTGGCAAAAATGATAAGGGGTAAGTGGGTCACATTTGCCGTTTTTCAGATAAGAACAGCGAGGCTTTGCAAGGTGAAGGTCGAACAGCTAGAGATGGTGGAGCGGATGCTGTAGTATTAACCGCCGTGCTATGCGGCCGGCTGCGTCGTAGTGAATGATGTAGGCAATACATGGTTTGAAGGAATGGGAGGGCTTTGAAGAGCCCTAATCACCGGGGGCAGGGAAGGGTGAAGTCTTGTCTTGCAGAACTGGAGGGGTGCACCTTGGAGCTGGGGGGTAAGGAGGCAGACTTGGCAGAGGGCTCTGGGGTCACCTGGGATGTGAGGTCTGTGGGGATCATGATTGGGGGTCCTTCTCCCTCTTTCCTGGCCCAATATGGTGAAACCCCATCTGTACTAAAAGTACAAAAAATAGCTGGGCATGGTGGTGGGCGCCTGTAATCCAAGGAGATAGAGTTGGAGAAGCTGAGGATTCCTGGCAGGGTATCTGGAAGTTTTCTGTCTCCATAGACACAGGGTAGGAGCTGGTCTGGCCTGGGGGGGGCCAGTGTCCCAGCAGCCTGAGTAGTGAGTGGCACCGAGGCCAGGAGGTAGAAGGAGGCCCAGATCCCAAGCAAAGACTGGACTGTGACTCTCCCCCTCCTCACGGCTCTCGGCTCCCATCTCCCAGCTGTCCCCAGTCCAGGCAGAAGGAGGACAAAAGGTGATTATTCCACTGGGGGCTGTCCTCGGCCCCATGAATGGGGTGTTGAAATCCCCATGTCCGCATCCGGATAGGTTTTCATCTTCTCCCCAGCCAGACTTTGTACACCGGGGCAGAGGCAAAGCCAGAGAGAGGAGGGGGTTGGGAGGGTGAGAGGGAGTTCCTTCTGGAAGGGGCACCCATGTGCCCCAACACCCCACTCTCTCAATGTAGCCCAAACAGAACCATCCTCTCCACCACCTCCTCCTACAAAGTCCCCCTCAGGGTGACCGGAAACCAATGGATGCTCCTAGCTCCCCACCCCCAATACCAAGACAAACCCAGTCCAGCCAGTTCCGTCTCCCACGTCTTTCCCATCTCTCCTTCCCCTCTGCCTCTCATGGCCTGGAGTCTGGACAACTGCATCAGGCTCTAAACCAGCCTCCCATCTCTCCCCAACCAACCAGTCCACAGTCCACACAATGCATCAGATCCCTGCTAAAAGTCTGCAGGAGGCCAGGCGGGTCGGCTCACGCCTGTAATCCCAACACTTTGGGATGCCAAGACAGACAGATCACCTGAGGTCGAGAGTGGGAGACCAGCCTGACCAATATGGAGAAGCCCTGTCTCTACTAAAAATATAAACATTGGCCGGGCGTGGTGGCACATACCTGTAATCCCAGCTACTCAGAAGGCTGAGGCAGGAGAATCGCTTGAACTTGGCAGGCGGAGGTGGCAGTGAGCTGAGATCACACTCCAGCCTGGGCAGCAAGAGCGAGATACCATCTCAAAACAAAAAAAAAAGTCTGCAAGAAAAGGGGACCTGAGAGAGGCTTCTGGGATGCTGGTTACATGGCATGAATGCTCTTTGAGTGCTAAGCCCATGATGTATGCACTTTTTTTTTCCTTTTTCGTTAGAGACAGGGTCTACTCTGTTACTCAGGTGGGAGTGCAGTGGTGTGATCGTGGCTCATGGTAGCCTCGAACTCCTGGGCTCAAGTGATCCTCCCACCTTGGCCTCCCAAAGCACTGAAATTACAGGCATGTACCACCATGCCCAGCTGTTTATTTTTTAGTTTTGTAGAGATGGGGTTTCACTATGTTGCCCAGGCTGGTCTTTAACTCCTGGGCTCAAGAGAGCCTCCCTCCTCAGCCTCCCCGAAAGTGCTCATGGGAGTAAGCTGCCACGCTTAGCCTAAACTTAATTTAAATCAGGGCCAGGTATGGTGGGTCATGCTCGTAATTCCAGCACTTTGGGAGGCCAAGGCAGGTGTATCACTTGAGGGCAAAAGTTCCAGACCAACCACGCCAACAAAATTACAAAAATTAGCTGAGTGTGGTGACATATGCCTGTAATCCCAGCTACTGGGGAGGTTGAGGCAGGAGAAGTGCTGGAACCCAGGAGGTGGAGGTTGCAGTGAGCTGAGATCAGGCCACTGAACTACAGCCTGGTCAACAGAGAGAGGCTCTGTCTCAAAAATAAATAAATAAAATAAAATAAAATAAATAATTTAAATCAGAAGAAATGAGCCAATAAAATGAGAAAAATCTTTAAGGAAATAATAGTTACCATAGCTCATAAATACATAAAAAAAAGCGAAGAAATGGCTGGGCGTGGTGGGTCATGCTCGTAATGGTGGCTCACACCTGTAATCCCAACACTTGGGGAAGCTGAGGCAGGCAGATCAGGAGGTCAGGAGTTTGAGAACAGCCTGGCCAACATGGTTAAACCCCATCTCTGCTAAAAATACAAAAATTAGCCAAGTGTGGTGGCACATGCCTGTTAATCCCAGCTACTCAGGAGGCTGAGGCAGGAAACTCAGCCTAGACTGTGCCATTGCACTTCCAGCCTGGACGACAGAGAGAGCTTCCATCAAAGAAAGAAGAAAGAGAGGCCGGGCGTGGTGGCTCACGCCTATAATCTCAGCACTTTGGGAGGCCGAGGCGGGTGGATCACAAGGTCAAGAGATCAAGACCATCCTGGTCAACATGGAGAAACCCCGTCTCTACTAAAAATACAAAAAAACAAAAAACTAGCTGGGCATGGTGGCACACGCCAGTAGTCCCAGCTACTCGGGAGGCTGAAGCAGGAGAATTGCTTGAACCCAGGAGGCAGAGGTTGCAGTGAGCCAAGATCGTGCCATTGCACTCCAGCCTGGGTAACAAGAGCAAAACTCTGTCTCAGAAAAAAAAAAAAAAAAGAAGAAGCAGAAAGAGAGAGAGGGAGGGTGGGAAAGAAAGAAAAAAAGAAGGCTGGGTACGGTGGCTCATGCCTGTAATCCCAGCACTTTGGGAGGCTGAGGCGGGTGGATCAACTGAGGTTGGGAGTTCGAGACCAGCCTGGCCAACAGGGAGAAATCCCGTCTGGAAAGAAAGAAGGAAAGGAATAAGGAAAGAAGAAAGGAAGAAAAGAAGGAAGGGAAGACAAAAAATCGAATGTGTAGTCCTGGAGGATTAACTCAGAGCCCTCGGGCTGGTCATGGTTTGGGCCCGGCCAACCTTCCCGACCCCCTCTCCTCTCCCACCGTTTCCCTCTTCACACATCCTCCTCCAGCCAAGCCCAACTCCTCATGCATTTCCATCCATGCAGCATCTTTCTCACCTCCCAGCTTTTGCCTCTGCCATGGTCTCCACTCAGAATGCCAAAGGCAAGTGGAAATGGCATTTCCCCCCGAAGCTGGCCCCTTCAGGAAATAAACTCTTGGGATCGTTTTTACTTTTTCCTGCAGCCTCGAACTTCTTGGCGCAAGTGATCCTCCTACCTCAGCCTCCCCATTAGCTGGGATTACAGACATGAGTCACCATACCTGACTCATTAAAAAAAAAAATTCTACTAATTTTAGTGTTTTTAAAATTTAACTTTTTTCTTTTTGTGGCAGAGTCTCGCTTTGTCACCCACGTTGGAGTGTAGTAGTGTGATCTCAGCTCACTGCAACCTCCATCTCCTGGGTTTAAGAGATTCTCCTGCCTCGGACTCTCGAGTAGCTGGGATCATAGGTGCCCGCCACCACACCCAGCCAATTTTTGTATTTTTGGTACAGACAGGGTTTCACCGTGTTGGTCAGCTAGTCTCCAACTCCTGACCTCAAGTGACCCGCCTACCTCAGCCTCCCAAAGTGCTGGGATTACAGACACGAGTCACCACGCCTGGCCTAATTTTTGTATTTATTGAAACAGATGTGTTTTTGCCATGTTGCCCAGGCAGGTCTTGAGCTCCTGGCTTCAAGGGATCCACCTGCCTCAGCCTCCCAATGTGCTGAGATTTCAGGCCTGAGTCGCCATGCCCATCCTCATTTTTAAAAACTTTTTGTAGAGATGGGGTCTCACTAAACTCCTGGGTTCAAGCAATCCTCCCACCTCAGCCTCCCAAAGCGCTGGGAGGCCCAGTAATGTTTGGGATCTGTAATTTCAGATGTTCCCACTGTGACTTCTCTCTGATCCCTTGATGGAAGCATCTGAAACACCCTTCACCATCTGGATGCGCAAGGAAGCAGAGATGCAAATTGGTCCCCAGCCAGATGAGAAGGGCTGGGGGTGGAGGCTGGGAGATGGGAGTGCTGCACCTCCCCTCCTCCCCCAAGCCCTGTCCTTCCTTCTCCTCCTGCCACTGGGTGAGTCCTCCCCTGCCAGCCCTTGCTACTTCCTCTTTGTAGCTCTCAGTTGTCCCAGCTGTAACTTTTCAGTAGGAGGGGCTTTGTGAATTAGCTTGTTCCTGCTGTTCTTTCCAACGCTGACATTTGCCCAGAGTTGACGAAAGAGCTAAGAGTCTGAGTTTGGGGAATGAAGGGCTCAGTAACAGAGGTGACAGGTAAACACACTCAGGGAATGGGCAGTTAGGGGACACTGGGCACAGGAAAGGAGAGAAAGAGGGTGTGATCCCCAATGGCTGTTGGAAAGGCAGCTGGTTAAAGAGATGAAATCAAATGACCTAGGGACTATCCCAGCATAAGAAGGCTGGGCGTGGTGGCTCACGCCTGTAATCCCAGCACTTTGGGAGGCCAAAGTGGGAGGATCACCTGAGGTCAGGAGTTTGAGACTAGCCTGGCCAACATAGTGAAACCCGAGTCTCTACTAAAAATACAAAAATTAGCCAGGCATGGCAGCGTGCACCTGTAATCCCAGCACCTCCCCAGTAGGGGAGGGTGAGGCAGGAGAATCACTTGAACCTGAGAGGTGGAGGTGGCAGTGAGCCAAGGTCATGCCACTGCACTCCAGCCTGGGTGTCAGAGCGAGACTCCAACTCAAAAAGAAATTTAAAAATAAATAAATATATAAGAAGTGGAGTTGGCTGGGCACAGTGGCTCATACCTGTAATTCCAGCACTTAGGGAGGCCAAGGCTGGTGGATCACAAGGTCAGGAGTTCAAGACCAGCTTGGCTAACATAGTGAAACCCGTCTCTACTAAAAATATAAAGAAGAGCTGGGCGTGGTGGTGTGTGCCTGTAATCCCAGCTACTAGGGAGGCTGAGGCAGGAGAATCATTTGAACCCAGGAAGTGGAGGTTACAGTGAGCTAAGATCGCACCACTGCAATCCAGCCTGGGTGAGAGGGTGAGACTCTGACTCAAAAAAAAAAAAAGTGGAGTCTCAGTTTCATCATCAGTAAAATGGGCGCACGAATACAGGCGGCAGAGGGTGTAGAATCCTCACAATAAGGATTCTATAAGGTAATGTGTGTGAAAGTGTCAGAACTGTCATACCCAGAGCACAAGTGCGGGATTATTTTTGGGCTTTCCATTTTGCCTGGTAGGCCAATTTCGCTTCCCTGTTTCCTCTCCCACCTCCACTCTCAAGCCCCGTGCTCAGAACTGCATGATGAAAAAGATTGTGGCTGTCTGGGTAGCCTCTCAGTTCTACCCTTGATTACCTATGTGTCTGGGTAGCCTCTCAGCTCTACCCTTGATTACCTATGTGTCTGGGTAGCCTCTCAGCTCTACCCTTGATTACCTATGTGTCTGGGTAGCCTCTCAGCTCTACCCTTGATTACCTATGTGGCTCTCAGCAAGTCGCCTCATCTCACTAACCCTGAAGTTGCCCTGTCTGTAAAATCCTGCCTAACTTATAAATTATCCTAATGATTTACTGAGTTCGTCTAAAGAAAGCAAGGAGGGCATACATGATAGCTGAAGCAGAAACTCAAGGCCAAGCAAAGTGGCTCACGCCTGTAATTCTAGTACTTTGGGAGGCTGAGATGGGAGGATCACTTGAGGTCAGGAGTTTGAGACCAGCCTGGGCAACATAATGAGACCCCTGACCCTATAAAAAAATAGAAAAATTAGGCTGGGAGTGGTGGCTCATGCCTATAATCCCAGCACTTTGGGAGGCTGAGGCAGGTGGATCACTTGAGGTCATGAGTTCAAGACTAGCCTGGCCAACATGGTAAAACCGCATCTCTACCTAAAAATATAAAAATTAGCCAGGTGTGGTGGTATGCATCTGTAGTCCCGATTACTCAGGAGGCCAAGGTGGGAAAATCACTGGAACCCACGAGACAGAGGTCGCAGTGAGCTGAGATTGTGCTGCAGCACTCCAGCCTGGATGGAGCAAGACTCTTGTCTAAAAAAGAAAAAAAGAAAAAAAAAAGCTGGTTGGGTGGCATTAGCTTGTAGTCCCAGCTATTCTGGAGGCTGAGGCGGGAGGATGGATTGAACTATGATCATGCTACTGTACTCCAGGCTGGGTGACAGACTGAGACACTGTCTCAAAAAAAAAAAAAAAAAAAAAACAATGAAGTAGAAGGACTCATATAGGTAAATCTTTAGGGAGGCCATTTTACACATTTAAGGTGGGGCTACTGAACATCTGCTGCGTACCAGGCTCTGAACAGAGTGGAGAGCCCAGGGGAACAGAGTTGAGACAGGCACGGCCACATTACCAGGGAGAAGGGCCCGAAAGAGGTCTGGGTATGTAGTGCTCAGGAATTCAGAGGAAACAGAGCACTTGTAGTTGAGGGCTCCAGGATGGCTTCCCAGAGGAAGGAGCTCCAAGTTGGGACTTGAAGAAAGCTCTTGGCTGAGCGCGTTGGCTCACACTGTAATCCCAGTACTTTGGCAGGCCAAGGTGGGTGGATGACCTGAGGTTAGGGGTTCGAGACCAGCCTGGCCAACACGGTGAAACCCAGTCTCTACTAAAAATCCAAAAAATTAGCCAGGCGTGGAGGCATGTGCCTATAGTCCCAACTACTCGGGGAGGCTGAGACAAGAGAATCACTTGAACCCAGGAGGTGGAGGTTGCAGTGAACCCAGATTGCTCCACTGCACTCTAGCCTGGGTGACAGAGCAAGAGTCTCTCTTGAAAAAAAAAAAAAGAAAATGAAAAGAAAGCTCTAAGCTTCCTTCCTTGAAGGAAGGATCAAGAGGGTTGTAATGAGCAGGAAGCCAGAAGAGAATGGGTTAAAGACCTGGAGACAATACCCAGGTTTGTTGGCAAGTGCCTGCAGTTTCAGCTACCTGAGAGGCAGGGGCTGGAAGACTGTTAGAGGCCAGGAGTGTGAGACGAGGCTGGGCAACATAGCAAGACCCCAGCTTTAAAAACAAAAACAGGCTGGGCGTGGTGGCTCACGACTGTAATCCCAGCACTTTGGGAGGCCGAGGCAGGTGGATCACCTGAGGTCAGGAGTTCGAGACCAGCCTGACTAACCTGGTGAAACCCTGTCTCTACTAAAAATACTAATGGTGGGTGCTTAATGCCAGCTACTCAGGAGGCTGAGGCAGGAGAATCGCTTGAACCTGGGAGGCAGAGGTTGCAATGAGCCAAGATGACACCATTGCACTCCAGCCTGGGCTACAGAGCAGGACTCCATTTCAATAAATAAATAAATACATACATACATACATACATACATACATACATAGCAAAACAAAAACCTGGAGACAAAATTGATGGAAGATTAAGAAGTAAGGTGAGGCAGGTTGCAGTGGCTCACACCTGTAATCCCAGCATTTTGGGAGACTGAGGCAGGAGGATTGCTTGAGTTCAGGAGTTTGAAACCATTCTGGGCAACAGAATCTTGACTCTACAAAAAATACAAAAAGAACTAGCCAGTGCGGTGGCTCACACCTATAATCCCAGCACTTTGGGAGGCCGAGGCGGGTGGATCACGAGGTCAGGAGATCGAGACCATCCTGGCCAACATGGTGAAACCCCGTCTCTACTAAAAATCCAAAAAATTAGCCAGGAGTGGTGGCCTTCACCTGTAGTCCCAGCTGCTCCAGAGGCTGAGGCAAGAGAATCACTTGAGCCCCTGAGGCGGAGGTTGCAGTTAGCCAAGATCACGCCATTGCACTCCAGCCTGGGCAACAAGAGAGAGACTCCATCTCAAAGAAAAAAAGAAAGAAAAAAGCGAGGCGAGGCTGATCAGAATGGTTAGAAGATTCTAGAAGGCTTCGTAGTGACTGCTCAGGAGCTGAGACTCCTGCAGGCAATGGGTCATTATGGGATTTAGCATTAGTTTGAGACGTGCGGATCTACAGATTTACCCTCGCAGATCTCTCTGGGTTGGCCTTGGGATCTCTGAGAGACGCGTGAAGCAGACAAGCCAATCACAACAGGCGGGCAAGAGAGTGGAGCTTTGGGAAAGCAGGGTTACGGAAGTCCAAGAAGACGGGGGTGATATTGAGGATGGCTGGGGTTGTGGGCTGTGTTCCTGGGACCAGGGAGCCATGGTGTGGGCAGAGGGGCCAATGCTCTTCCTCACTCTGTTTCAGCCAGTGCCCTACAGCTCACTCCACTGCCCTTTCCAGGTAGGTGCCCCGCCTCGCCCTTCCTCACCCTCACCTGTCCCCCAGGTACTCCAGCCTCAGACGGGAAACCTCAGGAAGTAATGACTAACCAGCCCCCTTGACTCTAGATGCCCCATCTCAGGGAAGTTGCAGTCTTCTCATTTTCCAGAAGGGATTGATCCCAAGGTTCCCATGGCTTCATGGCAAAGCGGGTAACCTGGCTGGGTCCCGTAGCATGCACGTCTGTAAACCTAGTGCTTTGGGAGGCCAAGACAGGAGGATCATTTGAGCTCAGGATCACTTGAGACCAGCCTAGGCAACAGAGTGAGACCCAGTCTCTACCAAAAAAGAAAAAAAAAGGACATAACCCTGGAAGTTGGACTCAGTGACCCCCTCCCTGGTGCCAGCTCCACCCTCTTCACAGAGCTGAGGCTGGTGGGGGGCCCCAGCCGCTGCCGGGGGCGCCTGGAAGTCATGCACGGTGGCTCCTGGGGCAGCGTCTGTGATGACGACTGGGATGTGGTGGACGCCAACGTGGTGTGTCGGCAGCTGGGCTGTGGCCTGGCGCTGCCCGTGCCACGGCCCCTCGCCTTTGGCCAGGGCCGAGGCCCCATCCTGCTGGACAACGTGGAGTGCCGTGGGCAGGAAGCTGCGCTGAGCGAGTGCGGCAGCCGGGGCTGGGGCGTCCACAATTGCTTTCACTACGAGGATGTGGCTGTCCTGTGTGATGGTGAGTGTAGCCCTAGGGTCTGGGGGGACAGACCGACTGTGGCAGGCAATAGGGCTGTAGGCTAGATGAATGAAAGGACTTCCCATGGGTGAGGCTGTTCAATGCAGATCAGTCCAGGGGCTGCAATGCCTGATGCTGGGGAAGAGCCCCAGCAAGGGTCCCAGGGGTTCTTCTTGTTTACTGCCTGACCTTGGACCAAAAGAAAACCAGCATCACTGCTTCCACGTGAGGCTTTGATTGTCCCAGCAGACCCCCTCCCTTAAAAAAAAAAATTTCTTTTTAGCCAGGTGAGGTAGCGCACGCCTATAATCCCAGCACTTTGGGAGGCCAAGGTGGGTGGATCACCAGGTCAGGAGTTTGAGACCAGCCTGGGCAACATGGTGAAACCCCATCTCCATGTCTCTACTAAAATACAAAAAATTAGCCGGGCATGGTGGTGCACACCTGTAATCCCAGCTACTCTGGAGGCTGAGGCAGGGGAATCACTAGAACTTGGGCTGTGGAGGTTGCAGTGAGCCGAGATGGTGCCACTGCACTCCAGCCTGGTGACAGAGCAAGACTTTGTCTCAATTAATAAAAAAAAAATTAGCCAGGCATGGTGGCGGGTGCCTGTAATCCCAGCTACTCAGGAGGCTGAGGCAGGAGAATCGCTTGAACCCTGGAGGAGCAGGTTGTAGTGAGCTGAGATCACACCACTACACTCCAGCCTGGGTGACAGAGCTAGACTCCATCTCAAAAAAAAAACCAACAAAAAAAACTACTGTGCTTTAAAGGAGTCCGGGACTTTGGTGCGGCCCCTCCTCCTCTCATACCCCAGGGTTCCTGGCTGTGACTCTGTGTGGCCAGAACTTCTGGGGGCAATCACCTTATGGGTCCCTCCTCCTGCCCCTCAAATACCCCGTGGTGTGAGGATGGAGAACAGAAAGACCCCTGTATCCACCCCACTTCCTTTCCAGAATTCTTGCCAACGCAGCCCCCAACAAGGAGGATGTTAACCAGTAGAGCGCCCCCTAGGACACTTCCGAATGGAAAAAGTATGTAAGCATAATGTGGGCACCACCTGGGTTTTGGGTTGGAAGTCTCTCACACCCTACCCTAGGCAGTGGGAAGACAGGGATTACAAATTAAAGATTGAAAGGTAGAGAAAATGGCCAGGTGTGGTGGCTCACACCTGTAATCCCAGCATTTAGGGAAGCTGAGGCTGGCGGATCATCTGAGGTCAGGAGTTTGAGACCAGCCTGGCCAACATGGAGAAATCCCGTCTCTACTAAAAATATAAAAATTAGCTGGGCGTTGTGGTGGGCCACTGTAATCCCAGCTACTCGGGAGGCTGAGGCAGGAGAATCCCTTGAACCAAGGAGGCGGAAGTTGCAGTGAGATCATGCCACTGTACATTCCAGCGTGGGGGACGGAGCAAGACTCTGTCTTAAAAAATAAAAAAAAAAAAAGAAAGTTAGAGAAAATGACCAGGCACGCTGGCTCTTGCCTGCAATCCCAGCACTTTGGGAGGCAGAGGTAGGTGGATCACTCGAGGCCCCGGGGGTCAAGCCTGCGGTGAATTGTGATTGAGAATTCAAGACCAGCCTGGACAACATGATGAAACCCTGTCTCTACAAGAAATACAAAAAGTAGCCAGGCATGGTGGCACATGCCTGTAGTTCCAGTTACTTGGGAGGCTGAGGCAGGAGAATCACTTGACCCTAGAAGGTGGAGGTTGCAGTGAGATCATGCCACTGTACTCCAGCTTGGGGGACACAATGAGATCCTACCTTTAAAGCGGGGGGGGGGGGGGGGGGATGTAGGGGGAGGGGCGAAACTGGAGCTTTATCTTACAGGAAGGTCAGATGAGCCCAAGAAGGATGAGAATGACTAGAACAAGAAAAAGAAAAGTGCTCTAAAAGAGGGACAGTGAAAGAGACAAGGAAAATGAATGTGGAAGAGGGGTCACATTACTCAGGAGATCAGGGAGGGCTTCCTGGAGGAAGAAATGTGGGAGCTGTACTTTGAGATTTCATTTGCACGTTCCAAGGAGGAAGGAAGCACGTTCCAAGCTGCCAGGAGAGAGGGAGCAGGATAGGGGAGCTGGTTTTAGGCAGGGATACTGTGAATACTGTGATTCCACAAACCACCCCCAATCTGGACCGAGGAGGTGGTGACCTGGGAAGGGGGGTGAGCAGATGTCCCTGGGTTGTAGGTCCTAGGACACCTAGCTGCCCTAATGGAGTGGACAGGAGGCAGAGGACAGTGGGATATACGCCCTGCCCCCGCTCCTGCCCCCAGGTGAGGGCAGTGTGCGCCTGGTGGGAGGCGCGAACCCGTGTCAGGGCAGAGTGGAGATCCTGCATGGTGGCCTGTGGGGCACCGTGTGTGACGACGACTGGGGGCTGCCGGATGCCGCTGTGGTCTGTCGCCAGCTGGGCTGTGGGGTGGCTATGGCCGCCACCACCAACGCCTTCTTCGGCTATGGCACGGGGCACATCCTGCTGGACAACGTGCACTGTGAAGGCAGCGAGCCCCACCTGGCAGCCTGCCAGAGCCTGGGCTGGGGCGTGCACAACTGTGGCCACCACGAGGACGCGGGCGCGCTATGCACAGGTTCGGGTTCTAGGGGCGGTGGGCGGGGCCGGGCGTGTGGGCGGGGCCAGGTGCTGGCAGGGGCGGAGCCCTGCGCTGATGGCAGGAGGAGGTGGCTTGGGTGGGGAGGTGAATGGGGCGGGTGTTTTGGCTGTCTTGATGCTTCCCAGAGCTCTCCAGGAAGCCTCCAAAATTACTTCTATCTCAGTACTGTTCTAGAAGTGCCTCCGAATATCCCAAAACTCCTTGTGGTACACTCCACAGCTATGTGACAATACTGCACTAATGCAGCCTGGCCAACTTGAGAAACGTAGCCTGGCGTGGTGGCGCCTGCCTATAATTCCAGCGACTGGGGAGGCTGAGGGAGGAGAATCGCTTGAACCCAGGGGGCGGAGGTTGCAGTGAGCCGAGCTCATGCCATTGCACTCCAGCCTGGGCGACAGAGAGAGACTCTGTCTCAAAAAACAAACAAACGAAACAAAAACCCTGCACTATTGCTTCACCAATACTCCCGAATTCTATAGCGATATCCCAAGAATGCCTCCAGAACGTTCCAGCAAGTACTGTTCCTGGAGCATAGAGTAACAATCTAGAATAACACTCAGTAACACTCAAGAATTGCCCTAGAGATATTCCAGAATTCTCCAATGGCCACGACTTGACCTAGCACAACCCTCTGTCATTCTGATGCTTAACTGACAGTATTTCCTCCCCACCTGGGCCCTTTCCAACTATTTCACAGATGGACTCCGCGCTGTAAAATATAAAGTGCTTGCCCATGACTCTACATAACTCATAGCAAACTAAGGGCTATCATTCCCAGGGGATAGGTAGGAAACCTGAGGCCCAGAGTCAGAGACTTACCCATGGTCGCACAGTTGATGCAAGGCAGGCAAACCCCCAAATTGAGGCTTAGTCCAGGAGGGTTTTTGGTTTTCCCCCAGCAAAGAATTTAAGGGCCAGCTGGTGTTAGCAACTTTCACTGACGCAGCAGTCTACAGCGGCAGCAGAGGTCCTGCTCCTTGCTGAGCAGGGCTACCCCATAGGCAGTGTGCCCAGAGTAGCAGCTCAGAGGCAGGTCTGCAGTCATAATTCTATTTACTTTCAAGATATGCAAATTAGGGGGTGGGTTATGCAGATATTTTAAGAAATAGAATGATAATTTTTGGGTTGTCTGCGTTGCCATGGAAAGGTAACTCCAGGTGTTGCCACGGCAATGGTAAACTGACATGGCACACAGATGGGCGTGTCTCATGGACAGGCATTTCCACCCCATCCTGTTTTAGTGAGTCCTCACTTGGGTCCTGTGTCTGAACCCCACCTCCTGGGTTGAGTCCCCTCTCCTACTCCATTCTTCCCTCGGAGATCAGTTGTGTTTTTGTTTTTGTTTTTTACTATAAGAGGGAGTGGCCGGGCGCGGTGGCTCACGCCTATAATCCCAGCACTTTGGGAGGCCGAGGCTGGTGGATCACGAGGTCAAGGGATCGAGACCATCCTGGTCAACAAGGTGAAACCCCGTCTCTCCTAAAAATACAAAAATTAGCTGGGCATGGTGGTGCGTGCCTGTAGTCCCAGCTACTTGGGAGGCTGAGGCAGGAGAATTGCTTGAACCCGGGAGGCGGAGGTTGCAGTGAGCTGAGATCGTGCCATTGCACTCCAGTCTGAGTAACAACAGCGAAAACTCCATCTCAAAAAAAAGAGGGAGTATAGAAGGGCAGAAGTCTGTTGCAGTGAGCCCTGGCAGAGCCCCTGCTAACCCTGGGCATGTCCCTTTCCCTGCTAGCCCTGTTTTCTCTGTAAGAGGGAGATAATGAGAACTCAGGACTGTGCATGGCCCTCTCTGATGGGTAAGGCCTTCTGTACTCCATGTCTGTGGGACACAGTGGGCTTCTGAGAACATGGGGCATTGGAGAGAAATGAAAGCATGTCTCTTAGAGTCCTGTACAAACTCTGAAGTGTATACCTCACAGCACAAGTGAATTACAACCACAATCAAGGTGGGGACAGGTCTCCTTGGACCCCAGCTGTGGCTGGGTCACCAGCCCTGGAGGTTACGTCTATTCTCTCCTCCAGGGAGACTCTCCTAGCCTCCCCTGACAGCCTATGGCTGACCAGGGACCAGAATCTCAGCCTCTAACCCTGTCCCCTTCTCTCCTGCCATAGTCCTGGGTCCCCCAACGCTCACGGCACTGCCATCCTTGGCCACAAGAGAGGACTGGGCTTGGCGCACAGATCCGTCCGGTAAAGAGCTCTGCCCTCCGGGCGGGAATGTTAGGAGCACAGTGGGTGCGGCTGGGAACTGGGAAGAATGTTCTGGATCCACAGGCGGGGGCCCTGGCTAACAGGCCAGGGCTTTGGCCAGATGGTGAAGAGGTGGGTGAGAGAATTATGAGCAGACGGAGCAAGGATGATGAAACCCAGAGCTCTGAAAACTTCAGTGGGGTGGGAGGAGGCAGTAAGAAATTTCTTCAAAGCACAGAAGTAAAATTTGGGATGTGGGTGGCAGCTCACTCGTAATCCCAGCACTTTCGGAAACAGGTGGGAGGATGACTTGAGGTCAGTTGAAGACCATCCTGGGCAACGTAGCTAGACCCTGCCTTACAAATAATTTTTTTTTTTTAAAAGATGGGGTTTCACCGTATTGATCAGGCTGGTCTCGAACTCCTGACCTCAGGTGATCCGCCCACCTCAGCCTCCCAAAGTGCTGGGATTACAGTCGTGAGCCACCGTGCCTGGCTACAAATAATTTTTTAAAAAATTGCCTGGTGTGGTGGCTCATGCTTGTAATCCCAGCACTTTGGGAGGCCGAGGTAGGTGAATCACTTGAAGTTAGGAGTTCGAGACCACCCTGGCCAACATGGTGAAATCCCATCTCTACTGAAAATACAAAAATTAAAAATAAATATACAAAAATTAGCCAGGCGCCTGTAATCCCAGCTACTTGGAAGGCTGAGGCAGGAGAATCGCTTGAGCCTGGCAGGCAGAGGTTGCAGAGAGCCGAGAATGCGCCACTGCACTCCAGTCTGGGCGACAGAGGAGACTCCGTATCAAAAAAAAAAACTTGGCATGGTGGCTTGCGCCTATAGTCCTAGCACTTTGGAATACCGAGGCGAGAGGATCGCTTGAGGCCAGTTCTAGGCTGCAGTGAGCGGTGATGACATCACTGCACTCCAGTCTGGGCAACAGAGCAAGGCCCTTTCTCAAAGTTAATTTTTTCCCCAATGGGATGATGCTGAGATTGGGGACTGAGAAACCTTATGAGGGGGCTGATTGAGATGAAAGCTGAATCAAGGTTAGCAGTGCAACTGGAAGTAGGATAGGAACTATCCCAGGGCTCGATGTTAGGATAATACCTAGAATTAGGCTTCAGTTCATTCCAACCAAGTTTCCCGGAGATCCCAGCTGGCACCAGACAACGACGTGGTGACTCTGGGACTGCAGCTGAGTGTGGGGGGGATAAAGGTGCGGTAGGGTTGGGGGGTCTTGGTAGGTGTCCCCCGTGTCCTGCTGCAGGACAGAATGCCTCCTCGTCCCCTTCGATCGCTCTAGATGCCATGTTTCCGCAGCCACAGGAGTTGCCCCCCAGCCTTCCCGGGAGACTGCACTGCTTACCACCGCCGCCTGGGCCGCAGGGAAGAAAAGTAAGTGGCCGTGCCCGGGGTCCGCGGGGGGCGGGGGAGGGTAGGGCCGGGGCTCTGCCCGGGAGCCGGCATCCCCAGCCCAGCCCCTCTGGCCGCGGGCATGTGCGCCCCGCAGGCGGGCGGCTGCGGCTGGTGGGTGGCCCGGGCCCGTGCCGCGGCCGCGTGGAGGTGCTGTACGCCGGGGGCTGGGGCACCGTGTGCGACGATGACTGGGACTTTGCGGACGCACGCGTGGCCTGCCGCGAGGCGGGCTGCGGGCCCGCGCTGGGCGCCACGGGCCTGGGCCACTTCGGCTATGGCCGCGGCCCAGTGCTGCTGGACAACGTGGGCTGCTCTGGCACCGAGGCCCGCCTGAGCGACTGCTTCCACCTGGGCTGGGGCCAGCACAACTGCGGGCACCACGAGGACGCGGGCGCTCTCTGCGCAGGTGAGGCCATCGACTGGGCCGCGCACTGCGGCGTGGGAGGGGCGGGGCCGGGCGCGGCCTGGGCGGGGCCACGCGTGAGGCCGCTCTGCGGCACCGCAGGACCCGGGGAGCATGCGCACTCCGCAGAGGGGCACCGCCCCGCCGTCCGCGCTCTCTGCGGCTGCGCAGCGGGGCGGGGCCAGAACGGAGAGCCCTCTGCAGTGCAAAATGGGGCGGGGCCTGGGTAGCAGTGAGGGGCGGTGTCCGAGGTCAGGGCTAAGGCCGATCCCTGTTCCCGGAAGGCATCAAGTCCATAAAGGGAGGGGCCGTTTGCTCCCTGTTAAACCTAGACCAAGCAAAATTCTATTAAGCAGAGAGTGCATCACCTTTACTAGAGCAAGCGTGTGACCTTTGGGCGGAGTCAATGGAAAGGGGTGCTTGCAGTTGGCAGAAGATTTTGAAATTGATTAATTGCTGCGGGAATTGATCTCTTTACCCTCATTTGGTGCCCCAGGCCTAGTAGGCCCTACTTCCCATGGTCTTGGCCACAAAGCGTTCTGCACAACCCCTATTTCTTTCCTTTTCTTCTTGCTCTGTCACCCAGGCTGGAGTGCAGTAGCATGATCCCAGTTCACTGCAGCCTTAAACTCCTGGGCTCAAGCAGGCCTACCCTGCTTAACCTCTAGAGTAGCTGGGACTGCAAGGGGCATGCCACCGCCCCTGGCTAATTTTTGTATTTTTTGTAGAGATAGGGTCTCGCTGTGTTGCGCAGGCCACTCTTGAACTACTGGCCTCAAGCAATTCTCTCACCTTGACCTCTTTTTTTTTTTTTTTTGAGATGGAGTCTCGCTTTATCACCCAGGCTGGAGTGCAGTGGCACTATCTTGGCTCACTGCAACCTCTGCCTCCTGCATTCAAGTGATTCTCCTGCCTCAGCCTCCGGAGCAGCTGGGATTACACGTACATGCCACCACGCCCTGCTAATTTTTCTATTTTTAGTAGAGATGGGGTTTTGCTTTGATGGCCAGGCTGGTCTTGAACTCCTGACCTCAGGTGATCCACCCACCCAGCCTCACCTTGACCTCTTAAAGTGCTGGGATTACAAGTGTCAGCCACTGCACCCACCCAGTGGCACAACCCCCATTTCTGCTCAAGGGGAGCGGTTCTTCAGGAACCTCTGAAGTCCTTTTTGTCCTTAGGACAGGCTTCCCGGGGGAGAGTAAGAGGCAGCCTGGCCCTAAGGAACATGTTCCCTGTTGTGACAACACCTCTTTTTTTCTGTCCTTCCTGAGCCAGGCCCAGAGGAGCTGGGACTGCAAGTCCAGCAGGACGGTTCTGAGACCACACGGGTACCCACTCCTCGGCCCAGGGATGGTAGGTACCCACAGTCCCCTGAAAGTGGGTGGAGGCATCAGGGTCACTGAAAGGACCTGGAGTGGGGGAGGTCACAGCCTGGGTTATAAAGCTCAGCAGATTCACACTAGGACCTGGAAACTCTTGTCCTTTTTGTGGGTCTCAGGCTTCCTTTGTAGGAATATGGCGTCCAGAAAGAAGGAGGTAAGCTTTAAATTACAGCAATCTGGAGATTTCTAGAGGTGGGATCAGAATGAAGGGAGAAGGATCCTGTCTTGAACACAGCAATGAAAAAATTCAGAATGTAGTTTCGTGAGCCCAGGGGGTTGGGGAGGCGGTGATGATGACCTTCAGGGGAAACAATAGGGTGTAATCACAGTCTCCTAACAGCTGGCCTGGGGCTGGGGCACTGGGATTATGAACGGAGGACTAGGGAGAGAGCAGTCATGAGGCACCCAGCACACATCACAGATCACTCGACAAACATTTGTATGCTTTCTCCCAGTCCTGAGACTCTGGGTCGGAACTGATGCCCATTTTATTGACTTATTTATTTTATTTTATTTTTTTGAGACAAAGTCTAGTTCTGTCGCCTAGTCTGGAGTGCAGTGGCGCGATCTCAGCTCACTGCAGTCTCCGCCTCCCAGGTTTAAGCGATTCTTGTGCCTCAGCCTCCCCAGTAGCTGGGATTATGGGCATATGCCATCACACCCAGCTAATTTTGTGTGTTTGTGTTTTTCGTAGAGACAGGGTTTCGCCATGTTGGCCAGGCTGGTCTTGAACTCCTGACCTCATGTGATCCGCCAGCCTTGGCCTCCCAAAGTGGTGGGATTACAGGCATGAGCCACCATGCCCGGCCCCATCTTACTTATTTTTGAGAAAGAGTCTTGCTCTGTCATGCAGGCTGGAATGCAGTGGCACAATCATGGCTACTGCAGCCTTGACCTCCTGGGCTCAAGCGATCCTCCTGCTTCAGCCTCCCAAGTAGCTTGGATTACAAGGCACACACTACCATGCCCAGTTAATTTTTGTTTTTTTGTTTTGTTTTGGTTTTAGAGACAGGGTCTTGCTATGTTGCCCAGGCTGCTGGGCACAAGCAATCCTCCTTCCCGCCTCAGCCTCCCAAAGTGCTGGGATTGCAGGTATGAGCCACCTCGCCCAGTGCCCATCTTATTTTAATTTCACATGTCTGCCTTCATCTAGTGGCTCCCAGGACAGTGCTCAGAGCGTCTCAGACCTCTCTTTATTCCCAACCTGACCTAGCTTGGGAGTGGCCTGCCATGAAGCAGCCCCTATTCAGCCCTTGTCCCCCCACAGGGCACCTACGTCTGGTCAACGGAGCCCACCGATGCGAGGGGCGTGTCGAGCTCTACCTAGGGCAACGGTGGGGCACTGTCTGTGATGATGCTTGGGACCTGCGGGCAGCCGGTGTCCTGTGCCGCCAGCTGGGCTGTGGCCAGGCCCTGGCAGCTCCTGGCGAGGCTCACTTTGGTCCAGGCCGGGGCCCCATTCTCCTGGACAATGTCAAGTGCCGTGGGGAAGAGAGTGCCCTGCTGCTCTGCTCTCACATCCGCTGGGATGCCCACAACTGCGACCACAGCGAGGATGCCAGTGTCCTGTGCCAGCCTTCATGACCCAGCCTGCTCTGCAGACCACCTCTTTTTTCTGGGAGCTGTGACCTGCCCTTCCTCCTCCGGGAAGTCCTCCTCTTGATGACTACAGTTCACTTTGCCCCTCCTTCCCTTGCCTGGGAGAGAGCCTACCTAGACAGTGCAGTCCCGCATGGGGGAGCCTGGCTGTACCCCCATCCACTGACTGCGTGACCTCAGCCTGTCATCCACTATTGTCAGCCCAGTTCAGTGAAAGCTCCCGTGGTTTTGCTCAGTCAAAACCAAAATGAGGGGAAGAGAAATGACTCCTAACTCTTCTCTTTGGTGGGGCTCTTTTTATAGCACCAGACCTGACTTCCTCGACCTAGATCCAGGAGGCTCAGGGGCTCTTTAAATGGGG